GTTTCGCTCGCTCCGTTTTTTGGACGAAGCTCTCCTGCATGAAAAGTGAAACACAATGGAAGAAGATGTGTTTAGGTTGAACCTCTGAAAAATGAACATTTTCCTTTGGGTTTTGCACTTTGTGTTAAATTACTGCTTTTATTCTCTTATAATATTAATAATAGTAACAATACAAATACTACTACAACCACTGATAATAATGATGCTATAAAAGTTACACTACTACTATTGTAACTAGTACACTACTACTAATACTGTAATATTAATACTACTATAAATAATAATAATTAGCTACCATTACTATTACTGAGACTATTAATAATAACAGCACTAATGCTATAAAAGCAAGTCTAGTCAAAGATATGTAATACTACTAATACAACCACATAATAGAAATAGTACTACTGTCACTACTACTACTAATAATAATGATCACAGAAATACTGTAATAGTAATAAAACTTGTTACTACTTTTACTTCTACTACTAATAAAGCTGAATCTACGACATCCACTACTTTTAATAATAATATTAATAATTATGCTAATGTTATACAACTGTTACTACTAATATTAATACTACTACTAAAAATAATTACACTAAATCTACTGCTACCACTACTAATAATAATAACACTATACTATTGCTACAAATCTACTGCCACTACTACTACTGCTACTACTGCTATTAATACTAATAATAATACTAACAACATAATTCTGATTCTGCTACTACCACTACTGATCACTAACCATCATTACTACGACTACTACTAATCCCTATTCACCATTCCCATGTGTAGTATAATCAATACTGCATGTGCAATTTGGGTAAAAACATTTTCTTACAGTGTACATATTTTTTGCTTTTTTGTTTATAATTGTTTATATTGTTAATTTTTGTGAACAGAGTTTATGTAAAGAATAGAGTTTATATTTTTATCTTAGATTTTTAACCTTTAGTATAATAAATATATTGTCTATATAGTAATAAATAAGTAACAAACTGTAACCGTGTTAAGTAACTAACAAGGTTAATTACTTGTCTTCTCTTCTTGTCACTACTTTTCTTGAGTACCTTGCTCTCCCTTTGCTGCTGAAGCACTGTGAATTTCCCTGTTGTAGGACTAATAAATAATAAATGTACCACTACTACTGCTACTACTACATAAAAATAACAATGCAAATACTACTACTAATTATTCTTATTATAATAACACTACTATTAATTATAATAATAAAAATATGAACAACAGTAATATTAAGAAGAAATTCCTCCCCACCCCCTGACAAATATGAAGAAACCCAGAACTCATCTAGTGAAAATGTCAGAGGAGGCCCTGAAAAACGCTCTCTTTTTTATATCCCAGTCACCATTCAGAAGCTTTAGCGTAGGAAATCTGATAAACAGTGTCCATTAGTGTTGCAACTCCAAACTAGTTAAAAAAATAAACAAGTAAATAAATAAATAAAGCTAGACTGCTACTATTCAAGGGTGTGTGCTGCCACTCATGTGGGGCGAATTTGGTCAAAACCTGCTAGAACCCAGTGGACACTGGCCAGAATGACATGAATCCGGCCAAATTCTCACTCCAGCTCCTGATCTAATCGTCCTAACAAAGTCCAGATCGGCGCAACATCAGCCGACCTGCTGTTCACCTGTCAAAACATCAGAACCCAATAACAAGATCACAATATGACCAGCAACCAGTCTCCTCACTGAGCTGAAATGCTTGAAGACAGATGCAAATAGTGACACTCACACTTGCGTATGACAAACTTCTTCTACGTAATAACAAATAAAAATAAACAAATCAATTCTTAAAAGTTCTTTAAGCTTTGTTGTCTTTACTACCATCCTGAAAAAGTGGGGAAACAGTGTGAAAAACAAAAGGAAAACCCAAACTCCTGACTGGCTGGGAGCAGAGATAGCTAGCACGCAGGCCCGGAGGCTCTTCCATGGCCTTGTGAGCGTGGCACAATACCGGGAGAGCGAAGGGCGCGCAGATGGAGTTGTGTGCGATGCTGGCTGGCCTTGCGTATGTAAACCCACACAGGACAAAACTGAATTGCACCAAGAAAGGCATTCAGACATCCTCTAATAACCCACTACCTCGCTTCATGGTTAAAAACAATATCACAAAAAAAAACAAACTCTACTATCTACACAGCAGAAAGGCTCATGAGCTTAATGCCAACTAACAAGCTGTGGAACGTCACAAAAGCGCTCATTATTTAAACCTGTCTGAAAGCGGCTCGCTTCGAAAATCAGCTTCCTTTTGTGCGAGGTGTCCGCAATTACCGCATATTAAAACGGCCACGTAAACGAGGACGAAGCAACTTCCACCTCACACCGGCCCACCAGACAAAGCGGTCTTCGTTTCTATTATCACGCATGCAGTAGTTGAATTTAATATGAGAAAATTGGAGATTTTCCACAATTTAAACTGTTCGCGTTCGGAGTCAAAGTCACCCAGAAATGTGGCCTTCATGATTTACAAAATCTAAGTACTTAACCCAGAGTCTGTGCTACATGTGTACAAATAACAAAGATAATGATTATTGGTTATATTTTCAAAAATGTTTTCTTTTTCTCTCTTTTGACCTATTAAACCTTCTGAAAATACTAAAACTTTATATTAAAAGTCCCTTTTCCTATAAAGTGAATGCACACATATCTGAAAGTCGACCCGTAAAGCGACACTGCTACATCAAATAATGTAACATTTCACTGTTTCTTAAGACATTTAAAGGCTATATCTATGTCCACGTCCACTGCTGTATGTTTTCGATAATATAAAAACAAACATTCAAAATTCCTCTAATATGCTTCTCACGTGCAACTCTAAACGTTTCAAAAAATTAGTAAGACACTTGGAGGATGCAAATAAAAAATTGTAAATGTATCCAGGATGATCAACAGAGCTGTAGAGGATTCTAGAATAATTGCAGGATGCAAATAGTTAAGTTGTAATATAATTAATATCCAGGATTTTTCATAATCTAAGTAAAGATCAAATCTCAAAGCAGAAATTTTGAAAAAAAAATGCATGTAAATAGATAATTACAGTATAATATTTATCATCTTCACACAATTCCTGACATATTCAATAAAAAACAAACATTTGGTAAATAGTTTGTAATATTTAAACTGTTATTAAAGCAAACCTTTTCGGTAGCACACGACCTCCAGTGTGTAATTTTGTAAGCAGTTCTTGTAAAATTAGGTTGTAAAAGTTATTAAGTATCGAGCTGATAAAACAGTTTAAAGTGTTAAAATGTAACAATTTCAATAGAACATGAAGGTAAAAGTGAAATGGAAATAAAAGAAGAGATGCGCTGCACGTTGTTTTTTTTTTTGCAGTCATATATAATATATATCCACACTCATACCACAGGTCACAAAGGTCAACATGGTTCAAGAACAACAGTAGCGGGAAGTTTCCTCCCCTACATTCACCCTTTGCATTATTCGCAAATAGACTAATGATCTATTTATTACAGACGTGAAATAATTTACAATAAAATAACCTTTTTTTGTTACAATTCTCATTTTTTTCTTTTATACTACAATAATTTCACCCCCCTGGCACCATGGCCTGTTCTGTTCGGACGTTCGGTCTTCACAATGGGACGACACGGAATCCCTTTTGTGGAATTTTCAGGGGGAAAAAATTTGAGGAAAATCGTTCAATGTTAGTATCAATTGGTTTGTGTTTTGAGTCCAGAAAATCCAGGCCAATGTTATTGTTACTGTATCTCCAGAATGCGACAGAAGCCCCCCTCTGTTTCCCCTCGGAGCACCGCGAGGAGGGGGGGTTCGACACTCGTCTCGGAAAAAAAAAGCAAAACAAAAACAAAACAGAAAACACGCACCGAACCAAACATGGAAACTCAAGACTACATCTCCAGTACCATCGAGAAAACACGCAGAAAGAGAGCAAAGACTGCATATTCAAAGACATTAACACACAGATCGAGACAGCCTCCGAGAAATCATACAGGAGAGAAACAAACAAACAGAAAAAACCCTCACCAAACCGTTTAGGAACGACAGCGAACACGGGACGACCGGAGCAATTCGGACTGGGTTTCTCGCTATACGCCAAAAAGAAAGAACAAGAAAAGAAAAACACAAATGTGGAGCTTCATGTTTTGACGTAAACAGCCTACATACATGAAGTTACCATCAGTTCGGCCTTTCTGTGCAGCTTGTGCTTTTCATAAAATATGAATACGTGCGAAGGCTGCATTATTTTCTGGGTTTGGCTGATTTTCCTCTTTTTAACCCCTTAAACTTCAGGCCTATTATTCAGCCATTTATCTTAAGCCTGATTATTCAGTAACTACTAGAAATGACTTGGTATTTATGCTACCGTTCAAAGGTTTGGAACCATTTTTTCTATCAATAACTGCTGTTATTTTATTCAATAATAACTTACAGAACACAGATTAAAGTACTTTAAGTTGGTGTTGGGGTATATCAAGAAGTTATTCAATGATAAATAATGCATTAAATCTATATACAGTCATTTTGTGATAAGTTATAGTCAAAAATTTGAAGCCCACCTCCTCCTCACTTAGATTACACATTAAGGTTTTTCTAAGTGTAAATAAGTGAAGACATCCTCTACAATGAACAAATGTGAAAAAAAAATTACTACTTTTCTGCTGATTTTAACACGTTGGCAAAAAAATGAAATAGAAAATGTGCCATAACTTTTGCACAGGCCAAATTTTACATGTTAAATTCAGTAAATAAAGAGTAATTGTGCATTACAGTGTGCGGAAGTGTACTCTCAACTGTTTATCAACTTATTTTAACTTCACAAATTAACAAAAAACATGGCACCTGCTCGGCTCAGATTAGAAATTATGTTTTTTATTGATTTTATAAGTTTTAAATTAGCAAACACTGAGGACAGGCATGAAAATAGTGCATAATTTCTATTTATTTGCTAAGTTTAACACATTGGCCAAATTTTATGTTTTATTTTTTCCCCTTAATTTGTTAAATTCAGTAAATAAACAGTAATTGTGCGTCAAAATGTGCAGAAGTGTGTTCTCTGTAGAGGATGTGTTCACTTATTTACAGCTAGAAAATCAACAAGACTCCAACTTCTTCTGTTTCTGACACATTTCAGCTAAATAGCTGAACAGTATGAAGTTGTAGAGTGTAATTTTCAACGAATAAGTTTTAACAAGGCCAGAACGTTTAAACGGTGGTCAGTATCGGCTACAAATTATTCACTATCGACTGTGAAACTAATGGGCATGCTCTGTAGTTGTGAGAGTGAGAAATTTAAGTTTGGACCTCCATGCAGTCGTGTCCAAAAGTTTGAAAGACAACCTTGGGCAAATTACGTGTGTTTAATTTTCAAAGTGAAAATACGTTTTTTTAGGGCACAATTTCTTTGTTGAACTTAACACACTGGAAAAAATATAAAACATACAATATAAAAAGTGCCATATGTTTTGCACCATATTTTATGCTTTAGATTTTTACCCTAATATGTTAAATTCAGCAAATAAACAGTAACTACGCATTAAAACGTGTGTTCTCTGCAGAGGACGTGACATTAAAATCAACAAAAGCATGCAATTTGACCGGGGGTGCCAAAACCGTTGCACACGACTGCCCAGACGCTGAGTTTAAGGGGTTAAAGGAGTTGGAGCAGTGCAGAATAAATGCCTGCAGAATGAAGGCCTACAGGCCTTCTTCAGTGATGTAGCTGAAACATTCATATATCTGTGCTAGCAGCTTCGAACAGATTGGGTGATTCAAGCCAACCAGAACGTTCCTATGAGACACGCTGACAGTTTTCATTGCTACCCAGCAGCTCTGTGGGATCATGTTTGGCATTCTAGCACACAGGATCATTTCCTTGACATTTTTTGGGGGGAGTTGGCTAAAAATGTCCAGAAAATGTCCAGAATCCTATGGAGGGGAGAAAAACAAAGTGGTCCCCGTCTTTTCCTCTTGCTTGACATTCTTCCTTCTCGACTCAGGTGGTGAAATTAGGAATTAGTGCAAGAAGCTCTTAAAATCCCCCCGTTTCCATGAGACGAGCGCGAGTTCGCCTTTCTGCTGTGGCAGTACCGAGACATGTTTCGCGTGTGCATTCTGAGAAATTTCAAAGAAAAAACAGAAATAAAAAAATAAAATGCACGAGACTGACCGACAACCACGGCACGGACGACACGAAGGAGACAGAGATATTTTTTAAATAAAAAAAAAAACAAAATCGAAAACAAGTAACAACAGTAAAGTTCAAGAGCAAAAGAAGTAGTAACATTTTAAAACGAGAAAATTGAGAAATTGGAAAAAAAAAATTAGCAAAAAAGTAAACAGAGATCATTCCAGAACTTTCTTGTCCAGTGCGTCTTTGCCATTGGTCCGCGAGTAGGGCTCGAACGCGGACGAGCTGAGGTACCGCGCGGACAGTTCCTGCAGGTTTCCGGCCAGTGAGCCAGCCATGGCCAGCGGCCCGGAGGAGGAGATTCTGGAGGCCACGGAGCCGAGCAGCGACGGCACAGGGAAGCTGAACAGGCCGTGGGGAGCGGGGGGCGACCCCTGCAGCCCAGTCACCGCCGTCGCCGAGCTGGTAGCCGCTGGCAATGGGGGGCTCCCGGCTGCCGAACCCGATCCGGACGCGCTTCCCGTTCCGCCGCCGCTTCCGCCGGAGGACGCCCCGTTGGCGGTGATGCCGAGGGCGGGCGCACGTAGGGCGGAGCCGCAGTGGGGCAGCAGGCCTGGCAGCCCCGGAGGGGTCAGGAGACGGCCCTGCTCCAGCAGCCGCAGCACGCTGCAGGTGGCCGCGGTCTCGGACACCACGGAGCGAAGCTCAGAGTCCTTCCCCTGATCCTTCTTCTGCTTCGTGCGACGGTTCTGGAACCACACCTTCACCTGGGAGAAAAATGGTACAGAGAGGAGATAAATAACTGAAAACAGGACAGTCTATCTATCTAAGGGGAAATCCACCAAACTTTCAGAATATCAGACTATCAAACTATCAGAGTGGTTTGATGTGAAATGCTGTCCTAGAGAAATGAGTCAGAATTGTTCACAGTGGTGGTGATAGGAACCAGATGTCCACCTCTAAAAGCTCCCTCACAGAAAGTTATTAAATGAAATGGTTATAAATACATCGTCTGATGTCGGAGACATTTTTAACATTAGTTTTGACCTAAGCTTTTGGGTTACAACATATTTTTTAAATCCTCTCATAGTGTTTTGTGGCAAAATTGTCCCCAAAGAAAAACCTACTCTTTTAGATTTTCCATTATTTCCCCATCATCAACATTCCATATAAAAGCTCAGAAGACACGTGTAGGTTCACTGGTGGTTTTGGACAGTAAATAAAATGTCTATATTTGTGTTGTAGTCATGGCGACCCCTGGTTCCTATCACCACCACTGTAAAGAAATCTGAACCATTTCACACCAAACCACTCCAAATCACTCTGTTTACATCTCAAACACTGAATTATACAAACGTTTTGAAAGATGACTGTGAATTTGTAAAAGGATTTTTCCCTTTTTTGTCATTTTCCACATTTCAGAATAACAGTGCAGATATCAAAATTATGAAATTATACATATGGAATTAAATAGTGAACTATCTTCTATTATAGACTGTTCACAGTAGCCCCTCTTTGACCTGATGCATCTTTACCAACTCTCAGCATTCTCATAAGAAGCTTTCTGATTGAAGAAGTCATAAATCAATGTGGGGGTCAACACTTTTTTAAATTAAACATTTTTGGAAATAAATTTTAATATAAGCCCCAATTGCACCCAGTCAGTCCGATGGGTCTAAGCTTTTGACTGAATCTATGTGTAAACATACAGACTGTGTTTGGGTTTGGGGTGGAAGGGGTTAATAGAGAATTATAACCGACTGAATCATTTTGGAATACATAAATAAATGCAGTTCAAAACAGCATAACCTAACAGGCAGCATAACACAACCAATGTCACACAGCTCTTTGTACTCAGAGAGCAGTCCAGGGTGTTTTTCGGACAGAAATGGCGGAGTGATTTGTGGCTCTGAAATGACTTTCGCGAGGGCGGGGTCTGACACAATGAAAGATAATTGTGGGCTTTTTTCTGTGGCGTAACACAGGCCTGTTTTCTATTGACCGCAGCAAACATGATGCGCAACAGCTTCAAAAGAAAGAGACTGACCTCCTGTGAGTGCGTGAGGCGCCAGTGCGTCACACTGGACTGCATACGTATAAAACCAGTGAAATAACTGACCATCTGAACATTTATTCAATATCAATCCATTGTGCAAACAATGAATCAATCAGACAGTGAATCGGTCAGTCTTTTAATTACTGAGTGAATTAGTCAGCCAGTGACTCAATCAGCCAGTGAATAAAACAGTAAATCAATCATTCACTCAATCAGCGAGTCAGTCCTTCAAATGGACAGAGAATCAATCATTCAAACAGAGACTCAGTCCTTAAAACAGACAGAGAATCAGTCATTCAGTCAATGAATCAGTCCTTCACACAGACAGAAAATCAGTTATTCAGTCAGTGAATCAGTCCTTCAAACAGACAGAATCAGTCATTCAGTCAGGGAATCAGTCCTTAAAACAGAGAATCAGTCATTCAGTCAGTGAATCAGTCCTTCAAACAGACAGAAAATCAGTTATTCAGTCAGTGAATCAGTCCTTCAAACAGACAGAATCAGTCATTCAGTCAGGGAATCAGTCCTTAAAACAGAGAATCAGTCATTCAGTCAGTGAATCAGTCCTTCAAACAGACAGAATCAGTCATTCAGTCAAGGGATCAGTCCTTAAAACAGAGAATCAGTCATTCAGTCAGTGAATCAGTCCTTCAAACAGACAGAAAATCAGTTATTCAGTCAGTGAATCAGTCCTTCAAACAGACAGAATCAGTCATTCAGTCAGGGAATCAGTCCTTAAAACAGAGAATCAGTCATTCAGTCAGTGAATCAGTCCTTCAAACAGACAGAATCAGTCATTCAGTCAGTGAAGCATGCCTTCAAACAGACAGAATCAGTCATTCAGTCAGGGAATCGGTCCTTCAAACAGACAGAGAATCAGTCATTCAGTCAGTGATTCAGTCCTTCAAACAGACAGAGAATCAGTCATTCGGTCAGTAAATCAATCCTTCAAACAGACAGAGAATCAGTCATTCAAACAGTCAGAAAATCAGTCCTTCAAATGGACAGAGAATCAGTCATTCAGTCAGTGAATCAGTCCTTCAAATGGACAGAGAATCAGTCATTCAGTCAGTGAATCAGTCCTTCAAACAATCAGCAAATCAGTCATTTAAACAGTCAGTGAATCAGTCAGCCATTCAATCAATCACTGAATCAATCAGTCAGTAAATAAATCAATACATCAGTTACGCAATCAGTGAATCGGTCATTCAATCAGTCACTAAACTAATCAGTTAGTGAACCAATTAGTCATTCAATCAGACAGCAAATCAGTCCTTTAAACAGTCAGTGAATCGGTCATTGAACAAAACAGTCCATCAATAAATCAGTGAGTCATTCAGTCAGTGACTCAATCAGTGACTCAATCAATGAGTGAGTCTGTCAGTGAAAAAAATCAATTGAATAACTAGTCAGTGAATTAATTATTCAGCCAGTGAATGAATGAATCAATCAATTAGTAAGTCAATCAGTCAGTGAATCAATTAATCAGTCAGTCAGTAAATCTGTATATCTTTATATTTATGTAACATTCTTCATGTTTAAAAAAAAAAGTTTACACAATTTTGCAGTTCTCTAGTGTGATAAATAAACATAAAAAATAAAAACAAAGAAATAAAGAACATTCAATGAACACTTTAGCGCAAAAGAAAAATTATACATCTAATAAAAAACAAAGACATGTGTATGTGTGTCAGTGTGTATATTAGTGCTTGTGTGTGTGCGTGTGTGTGTGAGTGGAGGTGCTGATATTTCTAAACACATGGCTGTGTTCCTCTGGGTGAGCTGGGTTAGTGGGTCACATACACACACACACACACACACACACACACACACACACACACACACACTCTTCAGTGTGTTTCTCCTCTCAGCTCTCGGCGTGTTTCTCCTCACCTACTTTCATCTTATTGGCTCAGAATAAATCAGTGATTCAGTGAAATGGTCAGAAAATAAACTCTGTGGTCAGCGGAGGACTTAACGAAACTCTAAACACGCAGCACTTTATACTTTAAGCACCATCATTATCATCATCACCATCATCACCGTATAAAATCCAATTACAATTAATGATCATACTGTTTAAAATATTAAAGAGCACATATAATAGAAAACTGAATTTAAATATAAGAGTTTGGCGTTTTATGTAAACATTGTTAAAATTTCAATACCGTCCACTCCTCAGTCCACAGACCATAACTAACAAACTAAGCTTCAAAAATAGTTTTTACTCTTTTTTTAATGTTTTTGTGATGTCACTAAAACCAGCTAATTTGTGTATATTTGCCTATTTTTAGCTCCGCCCACTCACACTGTTGTTGTAAAGAGTGTTTGAGCCAGCACCGTACGAGAGGGTCAATAAAGAGTCTAACAGTGTAATCAACATGTTGAAATTAAAGCAAATACGTGATGGAAGGAAAGAGAAGGAAGGAGTGTGAAGAGAGAGGTGATAGCGATAGAAAGAAAAGAGAGAGAGAGGGGGCAGATAATGAGGAGAATGACAGAGAGAGAGGAATAAAGAGAAAAAAAAAAATAAAGAGAGATGACAGCAAGGATAGAGAGAGGACTAAAGAGAGAAAAGAAAGAGAGAAGGAAAAAGAAAAAAGACAGGAGAAAGAAATAAAGAGGAGAAAGAAATATAAATAAGATAAAAAAAGAAAGCGAGAAAAAAAAAGAGTAATAAGAGAGAGAGAGAAATAAGAAAAAGAGAAAAATAAAAGGAAAGAGCTAGATAAAGAGAAAAAAGAAAAGAGAGAGAGAGAGAGAGAAAGGAGTGCATGCACAGTTCAGTGGTTCAGCTTCGTGAGCTCAACCCGCTGACCTCTGGTTGACCCCAAACCGGAGCACGAGGTGGAAACACATCATACTCTAAGCCGGCTTCTAACACACACACACACACACACACACACACACACACACACGCACAGTCCCTCTGAAAATAAGGCCTCGCTTACACAACGGCTTCACACACTCAGCAGACGGAGGAGGAGAGCAGACTGTAATAAACGATCACACACAGCAGTTATGATGCTGATTCATGTCATCATACTGGAGACATTAGGAGCAAAATACGGCCTAATAAACACAGCTGAACTGTAAACTAATACAACACAGCCTGATTCAGACAGACTGAAGGCCTCATGAACACTGAAACACACTGAAAACACACACACATTCAGCCTCTGCTTTCTGGGACAGGAACAGCTTCCACATTTAGGAATATCGCGTTAGAAAAACACTTTGCACTTCCATTTTTGTCCATTCTCTATTTTTTTCACTTCACGAAACCTTGTATCTCCAAAATAGTAACTTCACAAGAGAAAGAAAAAACATACTTTACTTAAATGTAAGTCAATGGAACCAGACATGTTTTCATGTCATTTTAGGCCGTTTCTTTTGGTCCATTCATTATGAAATTCACACACAATGTAAAGAACAACAGACATTATAAAATTATGTCAAAAACTTAAATAATTTTAAAATGTCTGTTGTTCTTGTTCCGACAGCAGTGATATATATATAAATATATATGTATATGAAAACATACGTATATGAAAAGTTAAGAACGTTTTCGCTGAGAGCAAAGTTTTCGCTTTCTCCTAGAAATTTACCATCTTGGAGGTAAGAGATTTTAACATATATATATATATATATATATATATATATATATATATATATATGTGTGTGTACCTATCTATCTATCTATTTATGTACATGTATGTATATAGCCCCATTTTAACAATTTATAATTGCCATCTTTTTCCAATTTTTAGATTGTTATGTATAAACAAGGACACACTTTGCACTTTGCATAACAATAGACGAAATATTGTCTGCTTGCGTTCCAACATTTCTTTGATTCAGTGCTTCACACTTACATCACAAAATGATATTTAAGTAATAAATAATAAAGCTCCTTTCAGAACATACAGTCCTTATTAAAAACCCAACTAAACAAAAATAATCCTGAGATGAGTTTGGATATCTATATATATATTTGTACCCTCCCATATATAAACACGGTGTGAAAAAATGTTGAAAGGTCTCTTTATCTGGGCAGTAAGTGTGTTTTTGCCAGTTAAAATACTATACAACACACAAATGTAGTGAAGAACGCGTTGTTTTCAGTAAAGTTATGAATATGTAGGTTCAGTTAGAAGGATGCAGGTTTCGCTGCGGTCCAGCCATCGCAGAGGTTTGTTCAACTCCATAAGCAGCAGCATTTAATTTAATGAAGGATTGACGAGATAAACTGGACGGCAACTGTAAATACTGGACCCACAGAACAACCACAATGGATTGTATATTTCTCTTTAATTAAAAAAATTAGTGTTTTTTGTTGTAGTAATAAATGTTTACTGCCCAGTTAATTAGCTTTGGTGTATTTATACGAGCACATTTTGTGCAGATGGACATATTTATCTGTATGCGAGTACCTGCGTTTCGGACAGGTTGAGCTGGCGCGCGAGCTCCGTCCTCTCTCGGCCCACAACATACTGACAGCGCTGGAACTCCATCTCCAGCCTGTAGAGCTGCTCTGCCGTGAAGGATGTCCGGGTCCGCTTGGGCCGGTCCAGATCCAGACCCTTCGGCAGGATGATCTCGCGGATTGAGCCTTTAGCGTCTGAAAAGACAAACAAACAACCGTCTGTGAGCCGAAATCAGCACTAAACTCTACAATAACAGGATGTATTCGCTGATATTTAGTATTAAAGCCTCTTAGGTACAAAATGAATGCATCATAATGAGAAAAAAATATATATGTACACATGCTCTATAAAATAAAATAAAACAAAAACATGTTTCTGTGTGATAATTGGAATTAATTTTTATACAAGACCATAGAATTTTTTATACAATTTTATACACTGAAAAAAAGAAAAAAATCTAAGAATAAGAAAACTGCTGTTAATAAAAAAAATAGTGAGAGTAACTAGAATGAGTTAAGAAGATTTAAATAAATAAAAAATAAAAGAGGTCTAATAAAAAAGGGAAAAAGGCTTCATACAATATTATATACCTATCGTCACAAATCTACTTAAAAATGATCTGTATAAATTCAGAAAGCTGCTATATTAGACCATATTCCCTGGCTTGTGTAAAGCGTGTTGTATATTTACTCCAGTGATTTTTCTGTTCTCAGTCTGATTTTGGAACGCTTCCAGTTCGTTTTCCCCCAGAGAACTGAACTCCAGTTTAAACATCCACTTACAGTGACACAGCCAATTTGACACAATCAAAAAGGAATATATAACAGTAAAATAAAAACTATAGACAAACATGAATTTGATATATTTTCAATTGCTTCTTTTTTTTTTTAATATTTCTACATAGTCTGATGTAAACCTTGAAAATGTTTCAGCATTATTGTTGATGTTCAGACAGACCTGAAATTAGCGCATTCAAACAATTAAAGAATATTTATTTTTAAATGGTTATAAATTATAAATAATATTTTTAAGGAAATTCTAATATAGTAAACTGTTAATCTTATTATGTTAAAAAAATAACACCTGCTGCCTATTTGTAATATAAAGAAAAGCAGTCATTTTAATAATACGGACAAAAGCAACATCAATAAAAAAAACATGGAATTTTGTTGAAATTTGTGAAAAATGTCATTCCTTTCAGAGCGCAAACGTTTTAGCGTCTTTAGCTCTAAACGGCTCCTTCACAGTTAAACAGGAATATGGCCTGCTCAGCCACGGCCGGAGGAAATAAGACAATCATTTCATCAGCTTAATTTCATTGGCGTTTGATCGGGTCTCGGTGTGACCATGATCCGAGTTTGGGAGAGTAAATCAGAAACGGAGCTCACAGCCCTGTGGATTTCGGAAACTGCACAGCGTGAACTTCACCGCTCCACACTTTATTTAATAGAAATGTAAATTCAGACGCTGCTCTGGTTGTGGATTATGGGAGTGATATAATGGGAGTTTTAATCTGTTTCTGAAGTCAGTTACTGGACGTCAGAGCTGATCTCTACAGCGCTGGTGTTCAGGTAAAAAAAAAATTAATTAACAAGCAAAAAATACATTTAAAATGTAGATTTCCCTCAAAACTTAAAAATTCGCCTTTGAGCATCATAGTCAGTCACACTGAGTGGAGACAAGTTTAATAAATATATAAGTAAACGGAGTTTTCTACTTTTTTTGCAAGAAAAGTAAGAAAATACAAATTAAAACTGAAAGCAATGTTACTTATATATTATAGTGTATATACAAAATTACCTGTACATAATGACTTATCAGTTGGTTTTATGTGCAACAAATGACCATTTAAAAATGATGATATGATTACCTTTAGCGCAACATGTTTCATTGTTTATTAGATAGATCTGTTTATTTTAAATATGCTCAATTTAATTTGAAAGAAACAACAAAAAATGTTTTTTATTTTATTTTTTTATCGAATTTCAAATTAAAATTCACCAGAAATTCACTGCCACACTTCTAAAGCCTAAACACCAGAACTGGAGTGAGTGGCCACCATCTGTGAGAGGTAACCAAGCATGAGCAGAGACTTTAAATTCATACCACAAGGTGCCCAAACACTATCACTAAAGCAGAATCAGAACCTTTTTAACAATATTAGAAGGAATTTCAGTAGGAATTCCAGTAAGTTTGGAAAAAATCATCCAAACTAGCACATACTGCCCAATAGACGTGCCTGCTTTTACAGAATGTGGCCCTTGTTTGAGTGTTTGCATTATTTCCACTAAGCAATGAAGAACTTACAAATCCAAAGAAGCAGACCACCTTCTTGTTTATTCGGGAAACTGATTCCAAACATTAATTCTGATGAGAACCAAAGTTTCTGAGCTGGACCAGCAGAAGATTTGCTTGCTGCCAGACAGATTCCAATGATAAATTACAATATACAAGAATTTATTAACCTGGACTGCAACAGACTGCCTGGAAGATGTACCTGCTTTCATGGAAAATTATTCCATAGTTAAATTCCGATTTAAATTTAAGGACTGCCTGGCGATGTGTCTGCTACTACGAAAACTGACTTTAACTTAAGAATTTATGGACTGGAACGACAGCATTCTGTCCAGATTTGCCTGCTTTTAAAGAAAAACGAAGTTGATTCTGATAAATATTTAAGGATTTGTAAAATACACCTGCCTTTTACGGAAGGGGTCCCTCGCAGCTCTAAAGCGTTTCTGGAAACTTACCTCTAACCAGTATCCTCCGGCAGTAGTCCGGATCCCCTGAGCTCGTCCTGCTTTTCTCATGGTTGTCCACAGCTCCGGACGGGCCAAAGGACTCCTGTGGCTCCTTCAGCAGCGTTTTGGAAAGGTTCCCCTGGGGCTCCTTCCCCTCCTTCCCTCCCTCCTTCAGCCCGTTCTTCAGAACCATCCCCGCCTCTGGCTCCTGGCTGTACCGGACATCCATCGCTAGCCTCGTCCCAATCGGAGAAACAACTCTCCTTCTCCTCCTCCTCCTTCTTCTTTGTTAGGCCAAAGAACACAACAGGGGAAGAAAAAAAGGAAAGTGCGATAACAGGAGAGTATCCCGTTAGTCCGGTGCTCCTGATAATGCCGGGTTTTTTTGTCCCAGTGCGTACGAAACAACAGCAGCTATTGGGACGCTTGAGCCAGGGAGCTAATGCCTCATCTTTTCCAGCGCTCTATTATCAGTGTCCAATGCTAGCTTCTTCACCCAGTGATCGCAGAGTTTTTTTCTTGCCCCCCCCCCAAAAAAATAATCGCAATTTGGCGTCCCCCCACTCCTCGTTAGTCTGATAGGGACGATCTCCGAACAATCAGAGCTTGGGACGGACGCATCGTTCGCTCGTTCCGAATTGATTACGGTAATTTTGCTCCGCGCTTTTCGGGATTTGCGTAACCTCCCTGAACGCACTAAATTGTTTGGGGGGAAATATATTGCGGCACTAATGGAGGGGTGCGCTGCCTACGACCCCTCTTCTTCCAGCCCGTCCTCGCGCGCACACACATACACACTCACGCAAAGGATCCCAGTCAAATGATTGGTCTCGGATCGCGAAAGAGAGCGCACGCAGACTCTCAGGCACTCGCGCACACATTCGCGCGCACCCAACGGAGCCCTCGAGGGGAAAAAAAAAAAGTTCCAGTCCAGCCCTGGGTGTCCCACGGCTCAGATGGGACGGGTGTTTTTCAGCCTTTGATCACGTTTAGCCGGTAAAGTCTGGATCGTTACAATAGATGTTATATACAAACGGACGGAGTGAGTACGGCAGGGGTAGAGACGGAGAGTTTGACTGAGCAAGAGAAGCAGGGATACAAAAAAGGAAAAATATGAATGAAACAAAGCACAGAATTCAAAATTTGTAGGTCTCCTCAAGTTCCCTAGAAACCGACCATAAAAGAAAACGACACAAATTCGGACGTCTTAAAACAGGCCTTTAAAACGGCATCAAATGCACGCCTACCGTAGCAAACTCTCGAGCAAAAAACCCTGTCAAATAAAAACCTGCCTGCAGCCCAAGCGCACACGCTCGAGAAGCAGCCCACCACCGCCCACACACACCCGCCTTCCAGCCTGCTACACGCCCGCCCACCCCACTTTGGGCTATTTTCATTGTCGCGGCGACAATATCTAGGAGAATAGCGGTGGTGGGTAATCCAATAAGACCATTGATTAGGCTACAATGATTCAATTCAAGCCAATAGCCGCGCGCCCGGGCCCTTCTTGTCACCTTGTTGGGCCAGAGGGGCTTTTCCCTCTTCCCTCTGACCCCCCCCCCTCCACCCCACCCCTTCGTAAAGCCTTTCACTGCTTTATGGGAAAGAGAGAGCACAAGGGGAGAAAGATGGCAATTATCTAATTGGACTATTAACAAACAATTCAGCGAGTGTGTCTGGTAGGGAGTAGTGGGAAGACCGGGGGGGAGCTAGGGGGGTGTTCTCCGCTGCACTAACTTCATTCAGAGAGTGTGTGGAAGCGGCCTGTTGAAGAGCGAGAGAGAGAGAGCGAGGGAGGGAGAGATTGTTTAAAGAAGAAGAGCTAAGTGGAGTAGGGGAGGGATTGTTTGAAGAAAAGGTAAGAAGAGGGCTCGGAGAGGGGGGCCCGAAAAGCTGCTGGAGTTGAGGCTTGGGAAAAAAGGAGGGTTTGGTTTGACAGTGACCAGCTGTAAGGCCTCAACTCTGAAGCTAGGATGACAAAAGCTAGGCGTCCCAGGACGAAGAGAATAACAAGTGAAAGCATCTGAAATAGGCGTATATCTACTACAACTGTCACTATATGTAAGTTATTAAGAGATTATTCAGTCTATTTGAATACATCAATCATCGCTACATTAAAACCACAGAAAGTTTCCATTTTTTTACACCATTTGAAAATGCCAGCCGCTCCTTTACACTTTAAAAACATTTTATGATAAACAGACCAACAAAAATACCCCAAAATGTCAATTTCATTCTTGTTAGTTAATCTCATTTACATCAAGTTACATTAAAAGTTAGAAGTCTTTTATAAACTCATCATTGCAGGGGTTTTATTTCAGGGTCTTTCTGCCTTCAATTTTGTCTTCAGTGAGTGAAAAGCAAGCTTAACTGGGTTGAGGTCTGGTGACTGACTCGGCCATTTAGTATCATTCCATTTCTTTGCCTTAAGAAGCTCTTGGGTTACCTTCACAGTATGTTTTCGGTAATTATCTGTCTGTGCTGTGAAGCGCCATCTGATCAATTTTGCAACATTTGACTGAATCTGAGCAGACAGTGTAGCTCTGAATTTATCCTGCTTCTTCTATCAGTAGCCACTTCATCAATAAACACCAGTGACCCAGTTCCACTGGCAGCCATACATGCCTATGCCATAATACTACCTCCACCATGTTTCACAGATGATGTGGTATGCTTCAGATCATGAGCTCTTCCTTTCCTTCTCCACACTCTTCTCTTTCCATCATTCTGGTACAAGTTAATCTTGGTTTTATCTGTCAGAAGAATCTTGTTCCAGAACTGGGCAGGCTTTTTTTTGATGTTTTCTAGCAAAGTCTAATCTGGCCTTTCTGTTCTTCAGTGTTACCAGTGGTTTGCATCTTGAGGTAAACTCTCTGTAGTTACATTCATGAAGGTGTTTCTTGATTGTAGACTTTGACAATGATACACCAACCCCCTCTAGAATGTCCTCGACTTGAGTAGATGTTGTGAAGCTCTCTTTCTTCACAACAGAAAGAATTCTGCCATCATTCACTTTAGCTGTTTTACTTGTGATTGGATTTAACACAACACAACCAGCATATCAATTCACAGCGTGATCAGATCTGTTAATCTAAACGCAACGCAACCAGCATATTTCCATTCACATTGTGATCAGATCTGTAAATGTAAACGCAACACAACCAGCATATTTACATTCATGTTGTGATCAGATCTGTTTATCTAAACACAACACAACCAGCATATTTCCATTCACAGCATGATTAGATCTGTTAATGTAAACGCAACACAACCAGCATATTTCCATTCACATTGTGATCAGATCTGTTAATGTAAATGCAACACAACCAGCATATTTCCATTCACACTGAGATCAGCTCTGTTAATCTAAATACAATGCAACAAGCATATCAATTCACATTGTGATCAGATCTGTTAATCTAAACACATTGTAACAAGCATATCAATTCACATTGTGATCAGATCTGTTAATCTAAACACAATGTAACAAGCATATCAATTCACATTGTGATCAGATCTGTTAAACGCAATGCAACCTGCATATCAATTCACATTGTGATCAGATCTGTTAATCTAAAGACAATGCAATCAGCATATTTACATTCATGTTGTGATCAGATCTGTTTATCTAAACACAACACAACTAACATATTTACAATCACACTGTGATCAGATTTCTCTCAAATCTAAACACAATGCATTTCAATTCATACTGTTAATATAAACGTAACCCAGCCAGCTAATCTTTTGTCGCATCTGTTTGTTATATATATGCAAGACAGCCTGCTTGTCTACCTTCACAGTTTAACGTCATGTCAGCGGCACCCACAACTTTCAGCACTGTTCCCGTCGCTCTTGTTAAACAAGTTATTTTTAGGCGTATGAGTGTGTATTCAAACGTAGGCTTAACAAAGGCTAAAGTTGAAAAGCCGTTCGTTGCCTGTGAAGGACAGAACACAGTTCTCCCACACACCTGCCTGCCATTTCCAACCCATATTCTTCTGAGCAAACATACACAAATCACCATCTTTTCTTTCTCTGCAACTTTGTATGATGGCTTGGACAGTCTGTGCAATCTGTAAACTCCAAATACTGGGTGTATTTGAAAAAAAACAAGTATAAATGAAACATAATTGACGATGAAGATCAGATCATGCTAATCAGTTGTTAAGGCTAAGTACACAGGGCCTGGGACTACAGGCTTTGAAGGAGTAGTTCAGAGAAAAGTCTTATTTACATAGCTTGTCAAATATAGTTGATCAGCCAAGACATGTTTGGTGTACGCATGAATGTATATTACACTATGAATGTATATAACACACATCTGTCCAAAAGTATCCAGACAGCCCTTCTAATGAGTGAATTTAGCTACATTTGCCACTCACTGCTGATATAGCTTGTATTATCTCCTTAGAAAAGCACTATCCAATAGAATGGGACACTCGGAAGAACCCACATGAGCCTAAGGGCACTATGCCAATGCCAAGCGTGGGCTAGAGGGGTATAAAGCTCCCAGCGTTGGGCTTTGGAGCAGTGGAACTGTGTTATCTGGAGTGATGGAGCTCCATCCAGTACCTCTGGGATGAGTTGGAGTGATCCAGAACTGACCATCCAACATCAGTACTTGACCTCACTAATGCTCAATCAAATCCTCACAGCAATGTTCAACATTTACTGTAAAGCCAAGCTCCAAACTGCGAGTTCTTAATGTGACCACAATGTTAAGGATGTAATTAAGGAGGCCAAGAATGCTAATGAGGCTAACTACTCAAGCTGATGTTTGCTAGGTCTAGAGAGCACAACACTGAGTGCATTTACATGCACTTAATAATCTGATAACTGCAGAAAATCAGATTTTGTCAGTAATCTGATCAACACGTTTACATGCACTTGGGTAATCAGATAATGGGAAACTCCAGGTCTACGTGAGTCAGAAAGTAATAAGATTTCCGCTGTACAACCAGCCAATAGACTCATAGAAGAAGACATGACTTAAAGCTAACACAAAACTCAGACTTCATGTCATAGCTTGTTTTTAAACCCATCAAGTCACTTTACCTGAAAATATGAATATGTATCATCTATAAGATGAAGAATATTTAAATCCTTCATTTCGACAAGTATGTATTGGTTTCGGCATCACTCCAAAAGTGTTTTGCTGCGTCTCGCGGCAATGCTGCTAGCTTAATTCCGGTACTGCAGCCTGTTTTCACACATGCACAGACTGAGAAATATGAAGGAAATCAGAGTAAGAGTTCACATGCACTGAAATCTGATTACTGAG